ACCCATGGTCATTACCACATCAAACAGCCATTTTCAGGAGCCAGTTCTATACACATGAGATAAGCTAATCATCTCAAGAGGCGCAAGAATCAAGCAGTATGTCCTGTCCAATTTGTCAAGGCTACTTGTACCTAGGCCTTGTTGAGCACTTGTATAGTCTCAGTTCTGAGGTCCAAAGTATGTTTGAAGGCACTTAAAGTCTTAAACTTCTTGGTCTCACTACACTGAGGCATTAAGGTGGTTTCAGCTGGTCGCTTCTCAGTTATCATGTATAAAATCAAGTATAAAGTACAAATCCACAGCACGGACTGACCTCACTCTTTACCTAGAGATGTACATCCCCTGCCATCCACCTTCTTCTACAAAGAACCTCACCACTTCCAATACCTGTTCCAGTCCATTTCCATCAACAACTAGAAGAATAGCTTTGAGTCAAACTAAATCACCACCAGGGAAGAGAAGCTGTTTTGTTCCATCTTGGTCATGAGCAGCACTTTCTGTGTAAGACTACATAAGATGCTGTATTGCTTTTCTCTGGTTAGGGATTGTCCTAGCTTGAGGATATACTTTCTGAACTACTTTTATCTCTATTTCACTTGCCTATTTCTTTTCCATTCTCTAAAAATGATCCTGCATCTACTGTAGCCAAAAACAGTTCTCCTACTGCTCTGAGTAGATGCAGGTTACCACTGATGTTAATGGCAAAATCTGAATCGCGCTCTTACTGCAATACAGAAAACTCCTACTATAAGGTCCATACTGTGCTGCTGCAGAGAGCATGCAGCTTTCAGGGATGGCTGTCACTGGAATAGCACCGAATTATGGATACAGAATGGTCTTGCGGAACAATTTTGGAAGGTGACTAAGCAGTAATTCTGCACTGAGCAGGACTGAGCAGGAAAGACAAGAAAAAGCAAAACGCAAGACATCCTAGAAAATATCATCAGTATTAGATGAATAAAACTAACACCTATACGATCGCTTCCTATTGAAAATCTGCGGGTACATCACTGTTCTGCTGCTTGCCGTGATTATTTTGTTCCTGTCTCCATTTTTTACCCTTCAAAAGCACTATTAAAAGAAATGAGAGAAAAGTATCATCTAGATTCAGATTCATTTATGTGTTAGCTCAATGTGAGAGAGATGTGGCACGTATCAAAATGACTGTGCTGCCAGGTCCTGACAAGACCACGAACGATGTGCAGATACAGGAAACACAGACGGCAGCAGGCAAAGCAATCTCCATCTTCCACCAGAGTGGACCAAGCTAACATGCAATTACCAAATTCTTCCAGAACGATTTCAAGATGCAGAGACTTGGTTAGCTACTAAGCTAGTAGATTTGAAGTAGCTCTGTAATTTATAGTAGCTGAGGCTTTAACCCAGAAATTTCAGTATACAAACGCTTTAAAAAGCACCAAAATGCCAAGTTCAAGAATATCGCTGCATGGCCCTGATGTTCCACAGTCAAGACTATCACTCATGATGTTCTTTATGCTCTTATGTTGTTCTAATTCCTCTAATTCCTGACAATTGTGTATCTGAAATAGGTATTTTACCTGTTTCATATGCAAACTTGCTAAAATATATGGGGTACTGAATAAATAAAGGCAAATTTCTAAGAAATTAAACTCTACTAGTTTAAGAACCACTCCAATTTGTTTTTTAAATACTGCATTGGTTTAAAGCAATAAGTATTAGTGATTCAATTAGTCTCTGAAAACACTAAAGGCAGCCTCATGAGGGAAATTAGACAGGGCTTTTATAGCAGAATTAATATGGCAAATCCTCATATCCTGTCGAGTTTTATATGCTTATAAAAGTAGAAAAAAATATAAAAAGTAAACTTTGGAGTATACAATGGAATTACTATCATCTACTCCAGGAACTCACAGGCTCTGGAATTATCTTAATATATTGAAAGTAATTCCGAATTCATTCCAGTTCAGGAAAGCATTCTGACCAAGTCCAAGCCTACATCTCACAAGAAGTCAGCATATGCTACAGGTTAAGCATGTGCTTAAGTTCTTTCCTGGATCAGGGTTGTCCCTGTATTGAAATGACTAAGGTATGATGCCTGTGCATTATTTCTCTTTGTATTCAAATCTACGATCCTACAAAGCCAAAGACACCTACTGCTGAATTATACTACTTTCCACATGCATTTCTGTACACAAACTCATGCAATATCAGCATTAAGACAGATCTACCTACATGTTACAGCTGAAATGCTTGCTGCCTTCTACCTACTGCCCAGGCATTTCTACCTAGAAAATTGCTTCTAAAAGCTTGGGAGTTTGACACCGTACCCTGTTTTCTTTGTGACTTTGCTGGTTGCAATGGCTATTTTTCCCCGCTGAAGAACCCCTTCTTTCAGGCCTCTTCAAGTTCCCTTGCTAACACCCCAAAAAGTACAACTGGGCTCAGCCTCACTGCAGAGTGATCCTGTGCAAACAAAACTGCACTCCCAAGGGAGGACGTGCAGGATCTACAATTAGCTGCAGCTTGGGAAGACCAGCCCAGTGATTCCTCAGGACACTCCACCAGGAAAAGCATCTTTAAATAACCATATGCTATTCGTAGGGAAGGAAAGTAACCATCTCTCAACAGTAACAACCACCCCTAGCACAGCCACACACCCAATTACCCTCTGCTATCATTTTCCAAACTGAGCTGACGGATGCTGGAAGAAAGTACACCTCAGAGTCCTTTCATACTGGACCCTTCAGTCCACTCATAGACATCAAAGATTTAGATCTTCCTGGTGGGTCTGTGGCGAGTGTCCTGCTCAGAAGGACAGAAGCTAGATGTGATTTCCTGACTGGTCTCCTGGGTTAGCAGAGACTCACAGGAAGGTGGCAGGACACACTAATCCTGGCTGTGAGCAAAGTGGCCTGTCACTGTAGGGACAGCATCTTTGATGGAGTCCAAGTCCATCAAAAAAGTGAAGATTTTACTGAGACAAAAGCTTTAATGAATAATATTGTTGGCATAACCAGTTATTGGCCTTTGACATCCTCTCTCTACAGTAGCACTCACAGGATTAAACAGCCCCAAATTAGCACCCAGAACCAAATCTGCACCCAGAATAGATCAGCACCTTCTGTTGGAGGATCTGAAAGCACTTCACAAATGTTAACGTTCGGCCTCACAACCCACAATGAGGTAGAGCAGTATCATCCCCATAGGATGGAGAGACATACTGAGGCACAGGGTTACCAAGAGACCTGCTCAAGTTCAGACACCAAATCCAGCGGTGCCCAGGGCCGAACGAAGGTGTCCCGACTGCTGCGGCTATGCTCTGTCCACAGGACCCTACTTGCCCCCACAAAGCTTTAATAGGAGCATTTAGCCCTTTGAACTGAAGCTGGGTGTCTATTTACAACATACCAAATGTTTAGCAGATACCTAGTCAGGGAATTACTCAAAGTTGTGCGTGGGCACAAATGATTTATTTGCAAAACTCTGGGTGTAAATGATGAAGCGCTAAGACTACAGGGTGCAAATTTGGTATGCAACAGCTCTGAGCCCTCAACAATTCCCAATCCTGTCTCTCAGATACAGCTCTTTACGTTGCACTGTATGTATCATCAGGTGAACCTCTGAAGATGTGAGCTGCACAGATTGTTTCATATTAGTGATGCAAGCAAACGAAACGTGGAGTGGCTTCGGGAACAACCCAGCATTCATGTACCATCAAACATCACAACGTTAAAATTCCTTCTTCTCACAAGGGAACAGGGAATAGGTATATACTGTGAAACAAAGGCAAATAGAGCAACAAAGAAAGGTTGATTGCATGGATTTCATTTAGGTAAAGTTCTATGATATTCAGTTTCACCAAAAGCATATTCCATGAGAAAGAGAGGCAATGCCAGCTAGCCTACGACAAAGCTTCAGTGTAGTAAAAACCACCAGCCCTGCATAAATAGATGAACTTTGCATTCTGAAGGAGTCATTATTGATTAATAAAAGTGAAAGATTTCTCTAAATACATTAAGTTTGTTTTTGCCTGATAGAAGAGTTTTTTAAAATACGGTTTTCTGAACACCACAAAGTTCTATTTGTTATATAAGTAGAGAATCTGGCCAAAGTTAGGAATACTGAAGTGTAAAAAAACAAATATGCAGTCTAAACATTACAAAAACTATCAAAACATCCAATATTTTGAATTGATTTTCTTTTTTTTTCCCCCCTGCAAGTATCTGTTTTGGCAGTGATGACAAGAAGTTGCTGTTACTGTTCTGCTGTTGTTGGTTGGCTTTTTTTTTTTGTACATTTTTCTGAATGTGTTTTTTAAACAAAAGAAAACTACCAGCTTTTATAAAAAAGAAGGAATTTGAATCCTTACCCTCAAAACACAGATACAAGGTATTCCTTATAAAAAGTGTATTGATTTTTTGCTATAAAAAGTGACGTATAGGGTGTCAGACCTGAAAACAAATTTTCACAGTGTTTTCAGTGTTGGCTGTTTACAAGGCATTACTACTGTAAACAGAGATAGAGAGATACCATAGGATAGGTAAAAAAAAAAATTGTTATCAGCCAGCAGTATCTTTGGAGCATACGTGAAAGCTGTTGCACTCAGATAGCTGACTTTTTTTTCTACTTAATCACTATAAAACATTCCAATATTTAAATATCTGAAAAATCACTATTGTACTCACTTTACTTAGCATCTTATACAACCACTCCAAATCTTTTCCAAACTTCTGCTGGCATAGTCTGCTGGTACAATAAGCATCAAACTAGTAAGTCATTTCCCTCCCTGCCCTCCAGCAACAAAAAAACAGGACTAGTTGGCAGGTAGCTACTAGTTGTAGCAGGTGCTACAATCAGGGGTGAAAACGAGAAGCAGGTCTGCTAGCAAACACCGGCAGTTTGGACAGGTGAAGAAAATCATTTGCTCTACTTGAGTTTGCAAATGAGTCAGCAAGAGATTGATTTGCACTCTTCTAGGGGGAGCTCTTTTGCTATCACGAGGACAATCATGTAGTTGCAGCAGAGGAAGAAATAATAGAAGAAAATGAGAAATGCACAGGATTGTTGGCACGCTGGCCTAAAATTGCTGGCAATGTCCATTTTGCATCCCTATAACTCTACTTAGAAGAATGGTATCCCTCTATCTCTATAGATTGATAGGTGTTGATTTGTGGCACAGAGGATAAATCACAGAAAAAAAAATGACATATAACTGTGTGTCCTTTATCTGATCTGAAAGCACCAGTCACCTATCTGCTTCTTTTGGCAGAAGTACTCTATTGTATCTTAACCATAGCTTGCAATATGGACAAGTAGCTTCATGTCGCTTTACATGGAATCTCCCAGGGAATCAGAGTCATCCAAAGACAGAGGCAGATACAAGTCCTGTAAGGAAAAAGAAGAAAATGTTAACTCACTGGTCCAGTTCTGGGCACTTCACAGGGACTGGGTGGACATCTTGGTCACTGGTTATGGAGTGGCTAATCAGTTCTCTAAGTAGATTGCAACTAAAATCAAAGTAGATCATTTGCACAGATGATCTCCATACCAAAAGAATGACAGTTGTTCAGTGATAAATTTGAGAATCATTTTTTATCACTGCTGGATCAATATATCCAGTGTAGCATACACATGAAAGAAGGGGATCTTTTCTTAAACAGGTCACTTTGAATCTCAGTGCATAATAAAGCATCTTATTTTATTTTTTGACAGCTGTCCTGAGGATCAGTCTCTTGAAAAATCACCTGTTCCATCATTTACTTTTGTATCAATTAGAATGGTTAGGAAAATAATCCCCAAATTCTTATTTGGATTGAGTGTAAAAAATTTTCAGGATCCTTTTCCAGGATACCATTTTATTCCACTTCTTTACATTTCTGCAAGGAACTAGGTACATTAACCTGCTCTAGGGTTAAAGCTCTCCTTGGCCCTTTTTAAACCTTGACCTATGTGCAAGGAATAGCTGTAAGCAAAAGAAAGCAAAGCACAGGTACACTGAAAGGGGATTCACAACAAATGCTGATATGAGAAGAAGTAAACTATGACTTTGAGGTGAACTAAGCCCATTTTGAGCTTTAGGGGGGAAAAAGGAAAAGTGATTTCATCATAAGCGGGGAATAGCTCCTAGGAGGAAAACAATGATGCATGAATATTGTGGTAACCTAAAATGTTACATTTATGTCTGCTGATTGGCTTAATTTAGTGGAGAAGCTCATAGATGGGTTGGCTTTGCCCTCAGCAATCACCATCTATTATAAATGTTCCAGAGGCTTCACTGGAAAGGTCATAAATCAGCCAGACGAAACCATACATAAAACATTAAAGAAGGTGAGTTTATACTTGTCTTTACCAGGAAGCAAATCCTCATCTCCAAATCCCTAAATGAAGCAGTGTTTGGAAAGTATTTTCAGGTCCTTGTTTGCCAAAGAAAACAATGCAGTTTACAGCATTAACCTTGTTGAAATACACACAAGCAATTGTTGAATGCAAGCTATTGGCCAGATCCTGTTCTCAGTTATAAATTAATGATAAATCTGGACCCATTCCATTCAAATTGGTGGGTTTCCTCAAAGTTAAGCTGAGCAGCTGAAATCAGAGTGCAGTCCAGAGGAAAATACGATTTCATCTGTATTCCGCTGTGCCTTTTTTAAAGTCAAACAAAGCTGAGTGGCTACAATCTCTCCATATGTTGGAAATATTTTAAGGATATGATTCCTGAGAAGCCATAACTCCACCTCAGGCTCCCCTGGGACCACTCAACCCCACGCCTAAAGGGCTGTGATCCAAAGTCCTGTGTAGGAGGGGTCTAATCCAAAGGCCACTGGACTTTTGGGGGTTCTCCCATTGGCTTCTCTGTGCTTTACTCCATTGCTGTAGCAGTGGCAGTTCAACTTCTGCCACCGTTACTCACTTTCAGAAAATCCACAATGCTCAAAGGATTGAGCTGAACTTGTGCAATGTAGCCCACAATGAATGACATGTGGCTGGCTGACTGCAAAACCTCAGCACCATCACTGTTTTTTAATTAGTTTTCCAGACTTTCTTTTCAAGGCAATTCTTTCAAAATCAAACCCAGGCTGAGAGAGAAATTCTGATTACTAAATTCAAGTGGCATTTGATTTCTAAAGCAGAAATCCCACTGACCTCCTCTCATCCCTTAAGTTTATATTCAAATTCCATCTAAAGACTGTCAAAGAACAGCAACACTCTGGTTGTTCCAAAAGTAAGAAAGCCCATGGAAATGAAAAATTCCTGCCTGAATAACAGCATCATGAAAAGCTGAGACTGCTGCTACCCCTTTCAAATCAATCGATACATGAAATCCTCTCTGAGGCCAGCCAAAGTTTACTGATCTCTGCTAGGACTGCTTGCTTCTTGTTAGATAGCCTGGATGTTCCCAGGGAAAACAGCCACTGTGGCAGAACACCATTAGTACAGCACTAGTACAAAAATCACTTACTGCCTGTAAAACAGAGCATGACCTAAAACACTTAAAAACATTTTGAAGCAGCAATAACATGAAGGCTTAGAGCTTCAGTGACATTCGTGTTTCTTTCGCTGTTTAATGTGCCAGATTTGCCAACACTTAAGCTTTCCAAGAGAGGAACATTTACATAAAGATGGTATTTATCAGCATCTCAGTAATTCTCTCAAATACCAATACTGATTTTTTCATCATGTCACTACATCCCAAAGTGAAAATATTTCTAGGTAACAGGCCAAGTTCTCCACTGGTTCAACTTAGAGAGTTGCACTTTCAGAGAATATGATCCTGAATTAAGTGTCCTACATATCTGAGCAGACTAAGAAGGAAAGAGCTGTAGTAAGGTATAAGAAACGTAATACCTTGTGCTTACGGAGGCTCCCTGGGCTGGTGGGTGTGGAGATCGGAGACTGCTTGGATTTGGGTGTAGACAGCTGACTGCTTGAGGTCCCATTTGCTGTCACAAAACAAGAGAGAAGCCTCTGATCATTTCTGTCCTCTAGGAAGATGGGACAAAACAGTCAACAAAGAAAAATTATAGTTTATTCATGTTGAACATATTGAAAACGAGCATGGCTATTCACCCAACTTTGATCTTTTTGTTTTTCAGGATACTGGGCTGTAAAATACAGTGAAATTCAAAATACAGTGAACAGGCAGTATTTTGCTTGTAAGAAATTAAGTTTTTCTTACCACTGACATTCTTTGAAATAAGCGAATGCCTTTGATAATTAACAAGCGTCATGTTAAACTTTCATAAGGACACACATACTTCTAGTGAGAATGGCTGTACCTATGTTGTGTATTGATTTCTGAGATACAGACCCAGGCCTGGCTACCAGGGCCATAAACGTACAGCTCTGTCAGCATGAGGGGCATTATCTGCAGGGAGGAAATCCAATCTCATGATGGCCATGTCTAAGTGCGTTACCTTTTCTGGCTCTTTCTTTTCGCAATCTAAGCAGCAGCAAGCTGGAGGCCTTGTAAGGATTGAACTACATTTCCTAGTCGAGTCTACAGAAAGTGACATTTCCAAAACCAAATCCAGATGTTAACAGATTCAGCACAATCCACAAAACTAAAACCCGAGTATTTGGACTGTCACTTTCTTAAGTGGCAAAAATGTTGCCAACCCCTCAGACAATCATACCAATCCCTCTCCCTCTTTTAAAGAAACTGTTTTTAATTGTTTGGTATTTCATATGGAAAGACAAGCACACAACGATTCAGGCTTGCTGTCCTGCTTGCCAAGTGCCCAGACCCCTTGCGTACCAATACTCTAAATGTAAAGGCATGTGGCCTCCACAAGAGGATAGATAATTTCAACATATGGGACTTATACTTTCACTGCAGTAACTGCATATGCAAATCGGATTTTCAATTAAGCAAGTATTTGAGAGTCTAGAAGAAGTTTAGAAAGTGTAACATACCTTGCCACTGGCAAGGTGTGTTTTTTAAAGGAAAACCAGGAGGAACTGACAAAAGCACAGTTAGGGGGAGTGGCAGTGTGGCAGTGTAGGCACCTGCTTTGCTGTTGCCACAGGGAGTGGAAACGAGAACCTGGAGCACCCCAGAGGGCTGCACCCCTGCAGAGATGGCGAGGAACCCGCTCTCCCAAAAAGCACTGTCTGATCAGCAATTCCACACTGAACTTCAGATCGCTTTTCTGCCAGTGTGCCCATACACCCTCCCTGCTAAAACTTAGCACTCCAATTCATCAGCTTTTTCTACTTGCAAAAATATTCTGAGGAGACTAAAAATTCTAATTGTCTTTTTAAATTCATTTGTTATTAGCTTCTAGGTCCTCCTTAGTAGCCTCGCTGCTCTCTGATGCAACATCACTCTTGTTTTCATTCCTGAGATGGCTTCGTTCCTCTTTTCTCTCATCTTCCTCTGAGAGGCAGTGGGGCAGTTAGGGATAGTTGGGGCAGTGTCCCTTGGTCAAATATAGAGGCTATACATGTGAAATTAGGACAGAGGAGAAGAAGCAAGAGCAGACGCTAGCTCGGCTCAGACTCAACAGACCATGGTGACATGGGACTTCTGCCTTCATATCCAGCATTTCTATGCAAAAGCAACTGCTGGAAACTGGAGTCTATTCATCACAGATAGTTTTTTCTCATTACAAATACACCTAAGTGAGAAAGCAGTTGTCTCGTAAAAGCTGATAAAAATGATGATTTCTCTATGATTGGGGAGTGGAGGGACCTTCCGTTCCCTGTTCCACTCAGACCACTCTTTTTGGTGAGGGGAGAATATTGGCTAGGGAGACCCAGAAGCTACTGCACACTGCTCTGTGGCATTTCCACTTTTCATTGCCCTTAAGGTTGGTGAGGGAAAAAAATGGAGATTTCACCTACTATATGCCATATAATGAAGGGATTTCAGACAGAAAGAGCTTGGATCTCTTTCATATTTCTTTAGCAAGTGACTTTGGGTTCCCTGTTAAAGAAAATGTGGAACAGAGTCCTAATACATGTCCTGTATTAGGTGGGAAGCATCTCTCATTTCTAACATGCTTCTTTGGACTTATTTCTAGTTGTAATGGCTCCTGAGGCAGGCAGCTGTCCTTCGTAAGACAAAGAGCACCACTTAGAAACCCCAGGAAGAACCCAAATTTCAATTTCCCTTCCACAAACAAGAAAGCTGGGGAACAGTCAACATTCAATGTGCAGCAAATGGATGCAATTGCTGCAGGGAAGGAGAGAAATTCCCTAATACAATAAGTCTTTTAAGTGCTATAGTGGGATGTTAATATTTTATGAGCAGTGATGAAAAAACAGATATGACATCCAAATCAGTAATCCAGTGAGACGGATGTGTATCATTACAGATACTCGTGTACAGTTTTGCAGCAGCAACAGCAACAATTAAGAAGCTCAGTTTAATTTTGTCTGTGTCTCCTAATGAAGAACAGCCTTCATAATCAAACTTGCACACATTTCTTTTGAATTCAGTGCAAGGAAAATAACAATAGGCTAAGAGCAGATCCCAGGTGGTATTTAATGCTGCTGCTCCACTGAAATCTGCTGATGACTTACAGGAGTTGGGGATCTATTACAAGCTCAGCTATTGAAAGCCATTCTTCAAAAACAGTTTTCATTTTAATTCACTTGTTCTTCGGCTTCACTGTTTGTGTGTTTATGTCTTATTTATAGCCTTGTATCTACTTTGCAACCACAATCTACCTTACAGCTCTTTTGTGCCTATGACACATCCTTTAATTGCATAACTACATGCCACCCTCTCCTCCCCAGACTCCCTGCTTCAGTCAGTGCACAAGACAGTCTGTACTCAGGAAAGGAATCAGGCTTGTCCAGCAAAAGAGAGGGAGGATGGAAAATACAGCACCATGTCACATTGGAGCTGGCAATAAGATATCTAAGTTCTCAATTCTGCCTCTCCTACAGATATGAACTTCTGAACTTCTCCGACATGATTGCTCCTTGAGTGCTGCTCAGGTTTACTGCTCTATAGCTGGAGCTCTGGCTCTGAATTTGCAGCGCTGTTGAGCACTGAGACCTGCAAATGAGGTTAGGGAGATGACTTTTGAACCAGGCATTGCTATCAAGGAACAGAACTGGAAAAAAAGCAAGGATCAAGGACCAAAATCTGTGGCTGTTTCTTCTTTTTCTCATAATTGAAAAATGAAGCTATTACTTCCTGCCCCTGTTCCCAGGTTCTGCAGATGACTTTTTAGTTTGTGGGGCACACACTCACACATCACTAAAGTGAAAGAAAGAAAGCATGAAGTACATGGATAATTTGGTATCCTGGTCAAGGACTGAAGAGTCACCAAGAAAACAAGAGGAGCAGTGACCAGAACAAGGGCAGCAGAAGGCAGATGTCCAAATTGCAGCTCATTTACCAAGCACCAGCCATCCAGCTCCCAAGGACAGAGGAGCCTGTGGAAGAACCACAGACTTCCCTACAGAGCTCACTCTGGAGCGGCAGAATTCAGATTACGCCGACAGCCGTCGCTCAGGCCCCATCCTGACTCCGAGGCGCTCTGCTTTGCCGACACCTTTCACGAGGGCGGGTGGCGAGGGCGAGCCCAACAGGCTGCTCCACCTCGTGCACGACGCAGAAGACATCTGCTGCCTCTTGAACATTCATACGTAATGACCCTGGGGAGCCAGATCTGCAGCCAGGACAGACTGATGTTCTCTATCCGCTTGCTAATTGCTGCTGCCTTATGAATTTGCTTTTGTCCCTTTCTGCATCCTGCCATTAGAGCAGTGAGAATTGAAGCCTGAAGCTGTGTGGCAGAGCCCTGCCAGGCTCCTGTAGCCAGATCAGCGCGAGCCTGGGGAAGCTGTGCTCACATTTCAGCACTGGTACCTGTGGCTGTGTCCTGCAAGGGACTACGGTCACGGTGGTTTTGAGAACCACAGGCTCTCCTACCATAGCACGTCTTTTACACAGCAGAACTGTTGTCTCTCATGCAAGTTGCTACAAGATGAACTAAGGTTTTCAAAATAAAGAAATAACAGCAAATGACATCCTATTTTCTCTCATCTCTGGCAATCGGGGAGCTGATAGCTTTGTTTTTTGGCTTTGTTTTTTGTTGCTCTTCTAAGTGCCTTCAGAACACAAAAAAATCCCTGAGTAAAGAGCCAAAGAGCTCATTTCCCTGCATGATTCCAAGGGTGGGCAACGCACCTGCCTGCACAGGTTGGTATCACTATCCTGGCTGATCCATTGGGAAAGGAGGTATAAGCAGATTTCAGAGATATACTCAAAGCCACAGAGTGAGTTAGTGGAAAAGAACGGGATAAGACACAAGTCTCCAAACACCCTAGCCTGCGTAGAAGACACTGCTGCTTGTGCACAGGGCGTTCGCACAGCTTTGAGTGAGAGGGGGTTTATTTATGTTGACACCCAAAGATCAGAAGCGTTCCCAGTGATGAGTGGCAGGGGAAGTGGAGGCAGTGTTTTCATGCTGCCAGCATTTCACCTTTAGCATTAGTTTTTTTTTTTTCTTCTTCTTCTCTGTGTTATAGCAGCAACGTGTATCTTTTGAGCCCTGTCTGCTGGCAGCACTGGAGCCCGTGCCAGTGCATGAGGCCCAGCCCTGCATGCACAATTTGCTTTAGGACGTGCCTGCCTGCATGCACGATGCATGAGCACTGGCAAAGGCTCATGTCTTTGACCAGGTTCCAGCTGTAAACCCACATTGTTCTGCATTTTACTCTTGATAAATAATATACCACTTTTCCATATGCTTTTTTAAAATTGAATAATTAGGATGAGGAATGGAAAAAGAAATAACATCCTTTCCTATAACTACAGGGTAATGGTAATGGTGATAGTTCAGAAATATTTCATTCAAGCAATTTGGATATTTATCTCAGAATCTGCATTTATGCCCACATCAAAATTTTACAGTGACTTAGATACTCTGACAGCAAAAATAATCAAAAAAATATGTGGAAAAGAACTGAATGGAATCTAATGACAGAATGAAGGAAACTCCAAGTTCTGATACAACAACCATAAAACTAATATAGAGCAAAGTTAAAAGTCGCAAATGGGTAGGAGATCAAACATATGGCAAAATATTTAACATAGTTGAAATAAATCAGCTTCTAAATCCTTTTACAGATGAAATAGGTGAGAATTCTGCAAAAATGGGTCAGGTCATCTTTTACTAATCAGACTTTATTCAGCATTCCTTGCCTTTTTCAATATGATAACTTCAAAGTCCAGCTAAGCATGTTTAATGTTTAGGTAATAAAGTATTCATTCCTAAGGAACATATCAGCTCACTGCCTTTACTACAAACCCAACAGGACAAGCACATAAGAGCATATTCTTTTTTACTCGCTACCCTGATAAGACAACTTCATTCTCATTCAGGAGGATACGCTGTCATTTTTTTATGTATTGACATCACAGAGGAAGTTTGAAAGACTCTTGACTATATGGATTAGAGAAACCTGGGCTGTCCTTCACTACGGGTCTTAACTCCAGGAGCTGACCACTGTTTAGTGTGTGTGGTTATTAATCTCTCCTAAGAGCCTTACCAACTGTTTGACACAAAGCAAGCAAGTACTAGTGCGTTCATTAAACTTCATCAGATGACTCACCATTTTGTTCTTACTGAGTGAATCAACCAGTTAAAGTCAGGGACACAATAGCCATTTCATATTATACTATATGGCTCATAGAAAAAAAAAAGTCTAATTTAGGTGCTAATAAGCACCCGCTGCTTAGTTTAAATGCCTCACAACTCATGCATGGCCTGATTCCCAGATCTCTGAATGAGACTTATTTATCCTTATTTATCAACAACAGATTTCAAACTGTGTCTTCACTGTACTTAAAGAACTCTATCATGCATTTGGGTTTGTAAAAAAAAAAGAATTTTATAGCAAACATGAATTTAAGAACGGTGGATCTTGATCTGCAAATTCAGAACCATTTTTTGGAGAAAAAAACTTAACCAACTGGAAAATTTATCTCCAGTACTTATTAAGCACAAAGTACACTAGCAGCAGCCTTTTGTGTATAAAAAAGCCAAAGCTTCAACCGCAAACATCCAAGGTCAGTGAATCCAAAACCAAAGTCGCAGCACAGTTAACATTCAGAGGCCAGAAAACCATCACTCACCGTCTTGATGGTTACCTGAATCGGCTGGAGACTTGCTCCGGCGCATGGGCGCTGGGCTCTTCGCTGAGCTCTTCTGGGGTGTGGGGGATGACTTGCTGCCCGTGGCGGCCGCAGGGCTCCCTTTCATCACCCGGCACTCTGAGGAACAGAGAGCAAACGTGGTTACATCCTGACCCACATTCCCACTGGTCAAGTGTCTATGGACATGAGGCATGAAACACTCAGAGGCAGCTCAGGCCCTTCTCTCTCCCGGCAAAGTCCCAAGACAGGATAGGTCAAGACCAGGCTGCCTTCCCAGCACTGCCCACCTCTGTACCTCTATCCTAGGTGGATTTTCTGCCATTCCCATTCCCGTGGGGTTCCACCAACTAGTGGGCAGCATGGAAATGGGTAAAACCAACTGAGGGAAAAATCAGGCCAAAAATACACAGTTAATTTGCTGTGAGTACAAAACGCAGCAAAACGTCTATCCCACTCTTGAAGACTTAATAGTAGGAATGATGAGTTCAATTTACAGAGGTGCGGGAAGCCAACTCACACCAGTTAAGGTCCTGAAGGGGTGCTTGGCCACCCAGGCCAGGTAGCTTTCACCCAACCTGAACCTGCTTTCTGTGGTTCCACCAAGCTGCAGCACTTCAGATGTACAAAGAAAAGACGACAAAATAGTTTTCTAAATCATGTCCTCTGTTCTGGGCACTCAGCCCGTTTGGAAAGGTTTGTATACAAACGTCTAGTAGATTTATGTACTTAGAGACATGAGTCCCAGCAATGTTCATTCAAAAATAAACAGACCAGGAAGAGGGGAAAATGTTAACATCTTCCTGTAGAAGGGAACCGAAATCCTAACAAACCTCTGTTTCCCAGGATTTCAGGCATGCCAGACCTTCAAAACCAGAGCTTATTTACATGTAGAGCTAAGAGTAAAAGCACTTTTCCATCCCTGAACTTAGTTAAGGGGAAAACAATAAAAAGGAGATTTCCTCTGTGTCAAATGCTGACTGGCCTCACCTAATCTCTTTCAGACTGTCCTCACCAAATATGTGAGGAATAGGTCTATATCCCAGCTGGGAGTTAGGTGTGTGACACACAGACTACATGTCATGGGCGAGTTCAGCACAGCTGGTGCGGCTTTTGCCCGAGAATTCCCTTGACTGGATTCTCCAGTGGCAATGAAATAAGGCAGCACACAGCAGACAAATAATTGGTCAACCGAAAGCAAGTTGTCTGACCTAAATGTGTGTGTTATTTATTTATATATCTGAATATCTATGAAAATGTAATCGCCCTAAATTTTTCCCCAGGCCTTCCTTGTTCTCAGGCAGTCAAGAGTCCGTCTCTTTTTCTTGCAGATGGGCTGTGAGAGTTTGCTGTTGCAGTGCAAGAATATAAAGGATGCCCTGTGCTCCAGGGATACTGTATGGGGATATTAAGCTACGACGACTTTATTCCCTCACCTACTAAGTGGTATAAAATTATTCTGAAAACTTTAAATTAGGGATATGAATAGTAGAAATACTTGATTTTGCCTCTTGTCAAGAGCTTATGCAGATGCCGCCGGCATGGACAGCAGTGCCGACGTGTCCCAGAGCGCTCCACACGCGGCACTCGGCGCGCTCACCCTGGAAGCGGAGGGTACAAACGAGACGCAGCAGCTGGAAGGTGCTCAGTGACGGGGAGCAGCGGGCGGAAGCTGAGGTGGGCAGTGAGGGGGAAAAGGTGACATAATCCTCTCTCATGCTATTCCTCACTCTGTGCCCTGATGCCTTGCCAGAATGAACAGAAGAGCTGTCGACCCGAGCGCACATCATCCGAACAGGCAAGAAAGGCAGCCGTGGTGGAGGAGCTTTCCGTAAGTGACATTCACCTGCAAGACGTGAGGACTCACTGCTCGGCTGGCAGCGTCTGACTCGTAGCCAGGAGGGATGCCGGGCACATAATGGGAAAGTGCTGCTGCCTGAGAGCCCCGTGTCTGCTGCTCGAGGGGCGCAGGCCCCTCACTGCCCCCTAGAACAGCACCAAAGGTGCGGGTGCTCAGGGCCTGCCCAGCAGCAGGCTTGGCTTCTTTTTCTTACAGAAATCCAAGCCAGAATAATGAATTGTAAGCAGGAGTGTAGGCAGAGAGCTGGGCTTCTCATCAACCTGGGCTGCTAGGACTGCATCCAAACTGTTTTACAGTGTGAAACTCCCCCCGGAGCTGACTCAACTGTGGAGTGTTAAAATAAAATCTGAAGCTCGGGTTACAGACTGCCTACCCAGCCTGACATGGGCAGTATTCTCTGTCTGCAGTTTTGGCTGAACCTTGGAAACTTTCTGTGAAATACCAAAGACCGCCAAACGGGTTCATCTGGAGTACGCAGGTCAGAAGTACCAGCAGCAAAGAAAATCAGGCTTGCAAAGGAGTCGTAAAAACACAGGGCTGGCGATTAGAGGCCGCTTGGCTTCCTGGTGTACAAAGAAAATCTTGTTTGGTCTTCAATCCTGAGTCGGTTTGTAGCACGTGAGACAGCATGTGACTCCTACTCCTTACACAAGATGCCTAGAGCTTTGGGAAATGCGGGTCTGAATGTTTGGAGACCACATTTTCTACTAGTTCAAATGGACTGGACGAATTTGCAGGCACCAGTGCACAACAGCGCTGCCCGCAAGATGCACGGTTGCCAGGTGGGCTAGGTGGCAAATCCTACAAGCAAGCTCTGTATATTCTCTGAAATCAAAGATTTCGTGGTTTAACTGATCAGAGACTTGTAATATCGCAGATCTGTGGTTGCAGTTGTAATGGGCACAAATCCTGGTGCTGTCCCATCTAAGGTGGGAACTATTACCCCTTTCAGCTTTTTCCTTTTCCAGTCAGCAGGAGGAAGCAGTATAGACATTTTCCCCTTTAACGATGCTTGCTCCCATTTTCTAATGTTCATGTACATGCATAAGGACAAAAGTAATGAACTGTGTGTGGGGAGTGTATATATATGTATTTCTTGATCAGAAAAATAGAGATTATTTTCTTGCTGTTTAGTTCTCAAGAATATATCCAACTGAGTGCATTTGGATACACACTACTGGATTTTTCGATAGATGTCAAAATGGTGGTATATGGTAAAATTCCAGCTATTTCAACTTACACTACACCTGTCAGTGTTTGCCAAATTATAATATTTGCTGGCTGTTCCAGTATGGCAAAAGGATGTTCTATTCCATATACTAGGTCTTAAAAGACAGCACAAAAACATGCAGCACTATTATTACCCAATACAAGCAATTGAAAGGAAATCAAATAAAAACATAGGCTGCAGAGCAGTGTGTGTTTGATGTTACCGCTTTCATCCAGAGAAAAGTCATCCTGTGCGTAGCGGAATTTTTCTGGACCACAGGCGATAAACACATCATCATCCCCAAAGAAATCATGGAGACAGGTCACCTACAGAGAGAGCAAAGTCATTTATTTTATTTTTAATTGGCGAACTCTGATGAGGCTCAGTTTTAATTTAAACACAAGAGTACTGCTTCTCTGTTCCCCCATCCCATGCTAATTCAGTCCTTTTTCCTATCAGCTTGTTACACAACACAACACTCGCCAGCAAGTCAACCATAACAGTATAATTAAGAAAAGGAAGAAAAAATCCCAGCCACCTTGCAAAATCCCATGAGGTCTGGCCTTTGCAGTCCTTTCAGGAGTTGACAAGCTACGTTAGCCATCCTAATGAATGACTCAGGCATCCCTGGTGGACTTCTGAAATATGAAGCGGGGTGGCCACCGCATCGTGTTGTTTGGCCAGGCGGTGACACCACTGCCTGTGTTGACAAGTGACTCAGTACCTACAAGGCCTGTAAGGACCATCAGAAGGCATTTCACACAGCGAGTGGGGTGTGGAAAGCTGTCTGAGATACCCAGCAGCCACGGTCATGACAGCTAATCTCTCCGAGCACCTCGCCTCTCTGTTTTGCCACCCTAAACGGGTGGAAATTATGTTTTGCAGCATCTGGATCTCCAGACCCAGTGCCTCGTGGTGCCAGGCTGTGCAGAGCCGGGGACGAAGGAAAGCAATGCACAAGACAGGGGAGCTCGGACCAAAGGCTGCATTGGGCTGGTACCTTTGCCTTTGGCCCTGCTATTACGCTGTAGTTAGCTGGGAAGGGCCACAGTGACCCCTGTCACCATCATCCCTGCTGTCTGAGGAACACAATCTCCGTGGTGGGGGGGTGCCCTTGCCCTCCTGAGAGCCCCCGGGCACTTTTCCCCATAGCGTGGGGCATGATGAGCTCTCTAGGAGCATCTGAGCACACGGGCAAATAAAACACTGATCTGCAAGGGCTGTGGAGGGCCCTGGAAACAACAGTGGGAAACTTACTGTAGACAGCAGTGAATTTCCCTATCTACTGATCTGGCTGAGCTGGACTGTGAAAAGTTAATTTCAAGCTCTAATAAATCAAAAATAAAGAAGGCTTTTGGCTATCCTAATAAGGCTCAGAATTTCACACTGGTTAATATAATGTATAATTAAAGCAAGGTCTAACGAGTGCCAGTGCTGGCTACAATGCCAAACATTAGCAAAAAGCCTGCTTTTCACATCTGCACAGCTTTCAAAAGGCAGCAAGTTGAAATGTGCAATTGGCTTCAATCGAAAATAGAATTTTCTCGGCGATCTTCAATGGACTCTGATTTCTACCTATCTAAAATTAGGTTGAACATAATTAACACATTACCTATAAGGAATTCTCCTACAGAAAAGATGACATTTCAAACCAGGGCAGGATACGAGAGTCCTCCCTGAGGATGGTGCCAGTGATTCATCTGCAATAACTGCGTTTGGCTCAATGCACAATCCCCATCTGAATGCTACGCAGTGGATTTACACCATGGAAAAGACTCACAGGTTGCTTCTCTCACGCTTCAATATGGAAACTCAGTGTAGTTAACATAGCGCAAAGCTAGATTCCAACATTAGAGATTGAAAAGCTTGCAGCCTTTTGGATGAAATCATAAAGCATCTAAAGTTGCTTTTACTGTCACCAGATCATGATACAAAACGTTTATTTTCTCCTTGAGTTACCACAGCCACCACGAGCAACCAACAAAACCTTCAGAAATAATTCAGAGGTCCAAATGTGGTGGAAAACTACAAGCACACCCAAGGACAGAAACCTGATTACGCATCAAGCAGAGATACACACAGCTCACTGCTGCATTCCTGCTCCCTCGCATAGGAAAATACTGTGCACGTTTCAAAATTATGATCAGCTGCCTGAATGAGTACTGAAGGCCAGTAAAGAACTGAGCTTGTTATGCTCCTACCACTCAGGAGATGGTAACTTCTGTGTTTGTTTTACTACTTATCTTGTCTTTGCTGCTGCAATTTCCACTCTTAAAGACCCACCCTGATTTAGAAGAAAAGATACCCTAGAGCCCTCTCCTTCCATCAAACAGTAAAGCTCAGGAAATGCATCGCGTGTTGGGCAGCTCTAACCTAGCTCCCTTGCCTCTGCTCACCGGGTAGGTGGTATTTCCTATCTCACTCTTGTTTATCCATCACAAATCCTTGCTCTGGAAGCCTGGATTATTACTGTAAGTCCCTGCTAGGTGTCCCATGTGCATCACTGTCAACGTGAAGTTGCTGGAATAAACTTTCTTGGTAGAAACATGTGCCTAAATGGCTGGACCTCTGCATCAGTCCCAGCTTGTCCAGGTTGTGCCAAGGAAAAACACTAACCCCATCAGTAGAAACAACACTGAAAACCATCTGATTAGTAAGACTTCGCCCTTCCACATTTTTTTAATTTCTAAACCTTTTTTTTCTACAATGACAAATTAAACCTACGTATACAAAAGGAAAGCTATAGTAAATAGGATAAATAGTATTAGTTTCCAAGATAAATGTGCAGGTCTTTGTTTAAAAAAGGATCGTACTTAATTTGAAATGCAGGATTAAAGAGACAATATTGACTTTAAAAGGATCATATTGCCTGAAAGGTTTACAATCTATTTCCTGTAGCTTAAACAACTCCAGTGCAGGAACCCGTGCACAGAATAGACAAGGCACATACTTATCTCTTGCAAAGCAATTATTGCTAATAGTTTTCATGGATCTTCCTCTTTGCATTGAGGTGTGATTTTTTTAACTTTATAACAGAAATTATAGAAAAAATAGAAGACTGTAGAGATTAACAGAGATTTTAGGGAGCACAAGGGCATTTGCGGTTTCTTTCGTCTTTGTCAAACATGGCGCATTTCCTCCTTAGCTGCAATCCTGCTCTGTTCACCCTCCAAAAGGGCAATGGCACTAGGATTTTTAAGCAGGAGCTCTGCAGTGACACTCCATTAGCGCCTGCCGCTGCGGTTTTAATTGCGGAGGGGAGCTGTGGCCCTTGGAGAGCCGTGGAGCCGCTGCACACATCTGCATGCAGGGCTCGTACGGCCACGTAAGCAGTTGTCAGCATTTGGACAAAATGGAGCTCGCTTCAACGTCCCCCTGGATGGGAGCTGAGATTTGTGACACGGCGGCATCGCTCCATGGCGGATATGCAGGACCCACCTGCAGAGCTGTGAATAACCAGCTATTTCTACCACCCTCCAGCAGGCAGCAGCAGTATTCAAGAACAGTAATTCAGTGACAAAAACGAAAAGAAACTAGAAATTAAAAGCCTTTCTCCTCTGGTTTAAACAATACAGCTTCATTTAGAAGTCTGAGTCACCTACCAGAGCAAAACCTTGCTGGGCTTTAAAGAGGTGCAGGGATTAACCAGCCCTCCTGCTGCCTTTAATAACGTGCACGTGGCACCACTGGACAAGAGGAGTGTGGGTCACCAGGAGTGTCAGCTGAGCTGCCTTCCTCATGGTCTTTGAGAAACGGCTTTATCAGAGGCTCCTCTTCATAGCTGATGGGACCAGATGGGGCTGCAGGACAAGATGCTGGCACGGGAACTCTTCAGAAGGGTGACTTATGTGCATAATCCTGCTCCCAGACTTTCCATCTCTTCCTTGCATGCAAAGACCTCTGCCTAAGATGCAAGGAGAGAGCCGACTAAGGAGATTTGCACTAAGATCACAACAGGATCAACAGGGCAAAATTCTTCCATCTTAGGGGCTTTCATCTTGAACCAGCAGCTTCATTCTCCAGGAGTTAGAAGGAAAGGTAGGGCCAGGGCCAGGGCCAGGCTTCTTCCCCTGACTTTTCCTCCTTTAGTCACAATGAATTTGATAACTTCTCTCCCACTCCGCGATTTAGAGGACAGAATAGGAGAAGATTCAAGCACGGGGGCAGGCTCTATCGCTGCCTGCATTTCTGCAGGTCTGGTGGCTATTCTCGGGGAGAAGGGAGCTCTCCATTTGCTTTCTTCTTCAACGTGGCAGTTCGAAAGCTTCCTAAGTTTAGAGCAGGGGGGAAAACTATCTTCAGGAACAACTTCCTTTAAGTCTGTAGAGGCTATAGAAGACAATTTGTATGCAACACATACACAAAGCCCATCCATTTACTTAGATTCTCTAAGTTGCTTTGAAAAAATGCTATAAAATTCAGCATACCAGACCACATGTTAGCTGAAGCTAATGTATTTTAATACATTAATGTATTAATGTATTAAATGTATTTTAATGTATTTTAGAAGCCTGCAAGTGTCCATTCTCTCTTGACAGTCAAGCACAAAAAATGTAGCTGGAGCTCACAAGTCAGAGCAGGAGCTAAAGAGACACTGATCATTTAACTGAACTGAAACTAGAACCAAACTCTGTTCAGACTCTAGTTTAAATCAAGCCAGAAATCTGACGTACCTCTTCATATTAAATGTATTTTAATGTATTTTAGAAGCCTGCAAGTGTCCATTCTCTCTTGACAGTCAAGCACAAAAAATGTAGCTGGAGCTCACAAGTCAGAGCAGGAGCTAAAGAGACACTGATCATTTAACTGAACTGAAACTAGAACCAAACTCTGTTCAGACTCTAGTTTAAATCAAGCCAGAAATCTGACGTACCTCTTCATACACCAGGACCTTTACTGCAAATCAAAATGGCAGCAGTATGATTTGAAAAGATCAAGTCCTAAATCATGAAGGCAACTTTGCTTTGCAATTAATCAGCTGTGTGTTTGCAATCAATAAAACAGGATACAAAAACAAAACAGAGACTTGTCCAGAGCAAGGTCATGTGTCAGAGAGAGTATCAGGAACTAATGAATACACCCAGCAGACTTTAGAGGAATTACTTTCTCTTCTCACAAGCTCTTCACCACATGTCCAGAAAGGAGATTTCATTAGACTTAAGGGGTTAAGGAGATGTAATGGAAAATAAGATGTTGATACTGGAATGCACAGCACTTAATACAGGTTTTTTTATAGCAGTCTAAAGACATAACTGCAAGCCCAGAGTAGACACTCATTTAAGCTTTATTAGATTCTGCTTTCCTGCACTTAAAAAGAAAGTATGTT